TGATGAATAGATTTATAATTGGCAGCAGGCCTGGTCCCAAGGATTTCCACACTTCTCCAAGACTTTCCATGAGTTTGCCTAGCTAGCCAGTTCTCCTTTCGGAGAGATTGCATGGAGCTTACAGGTACATAGTTATAGTTATAAACAGATAGTAAGAACTGAACAGCATGTCAATCAAGATTTTTTTGGAACCCTGAAGGTATTTAGGTAGCTGGGCGGATGGTTTTGCATATTAAGACTGATACATATCAGTCACCTAGAGTAAGTAAATACCCAAAATGAGAAAGGTGTGTAGTTCTGAGACCTCAAACTGACATTAAGTTCAGGTCAGTTCAACAGTATTTGTGTTCAGCTACAACTGTACCTACTTCCCATTATTTCACAACCTTCCTGGTTTATTTCACTGAAATCAGTCCAGTGAGTTCTATAGCCAGCTTTTCAAACTGAAATCCTGGAATCTATATAATCAGACCAGAGCCAGAACTTGGAAGCAATTGCTTACAAATAAATTCTTACTTATAGGTCATAGTCAACAGTCATGCAAAGGGTTACCACCAATTCCTCCCCACCCGTCCACTGCTCTTGTTGCTCTCTATGTGTGAAGGACTACAGTCTGAAGAGGACAGCGTTCTTGATGTGTGCAGCACGTCCATGAGATTTAAGTGGATTTTTCAGGGTTTCTAACTGCATTGAGAGCATCCGCACAGAACAGAGGCACCCCTTTTTAGACTGTCATTTTTCTGCACTTGGAAAGCAAGGAAGAGCTAGGGAAGTTAGCACGTTTTCCTCCTCATGTGTTGATTCTCACCCTTCTGTGAATGGATGAAATGAGTTAGGATTAACTCCCTTTTCCACCAAGTAATGCATAATTATAATCACAATTATAACTTTCACCCCCTTTGTACTGCAACAATAACTCAGTTTAGCTGCTTTCACAGTTATAGGATATAGCCCCACGGTCCACCTACTTGCCCAGGCTGTGTATTGAGCTCTGTTGTGGTTGGTGAGGCAATATGAGGTAGCTGGGAGAAGAGTGCATTATTTTGCACCATAGGCCATTGGCTTGTAGCACTCAGATTTTTAAAAAGAAGTACCAATTTTAGTTACCTTTGAGAGCCAGAAAAGTGCTGTTTTTTAAACTGTAACTATAATTATAAACAACTACAATTGAGACTTTGAAATTATATACCACTAATGAATTGTTGAAAGTACATTTTGCCCAAAGCCAGACTCCACGATAGTCCATCAAAATGCCACTACTTTTTGTGGTCTAGGATTCTTGAAATGGCTCTTCTCCATTCCAACAGCAGAAAGTTTGGATAGTAAATAAAGCTCTCTTGGGGGTGAATGCCACAAATTGAGGCTTTGCTCTAAAACCAAGCCACAAAACAAATTTCTACCCTTAAGTAATTTATCTTTTTAATTGCTTTAAAAATATCCTTTGCCCTTTTTTCCCTCCCATCAGCTCAACTAAATGCAGCTTACAAAACTCAAGACTTCCAACTCAGGCTATCCAGCTTACAATAGTAGAACATAAAGCAAGCATAAAGGGGGCAGCATTAAAACAACAAGCTCAGTGAATGTTCAGTCCAAAACCTTATTGTGCAATCATGTAAAAGAGTATTATGTTGAGACTGCACAAGAAAGGAATTCTAAGAAGGAGGGGGGAAGCATGAAAGCTTAACCACTCAGCCAAACCTTCAGGAGTCCTAAATAATATGCTAACATCTGAGGAATAAAGCATATGAGTGATGCTTTTGGAATAACCCGAAAGCATAATAGAGTACATATCCCTGAAAATTCTCGCAATCCTGCCATGGAAGGACAGCCACACAGAAATTGGGAGGTTTCACTGCCTACCATTTGCTTCAGTTTGGTCTGAATTATTTGTATTACAAATCGTAACCAATTTGCTTCAGATCAATTTGTAGCCCGTCCAATTTGATTTGTATCCATATAGTTTGAAGTATTTGTATTTGTCTGAATTCCCTCGTCCTCTCAAAAGAAGAAAATAAAGAATTCTGGCCAGGAACTGAAGGAGTGCCATCAGCTACGGCTCAACCATCAGTGTGAAACGGAAGTTCTCACTAGTTGCTTTTCCTCCTTCATCTACCTGCCCAGCCCAAGCCCTTCCATTAATGCATGCAAAATTAGATGGACATTGTCATCAGCCAACCTGGACCATTTGAAATGAAGGCTGGTACTCTGGATTTTTACTCTCCAAAAGGCCAAAGCAAAATGCAATGCTTTGGAGAGTCCCAATTCAATTTGATCGCAGGTCCAGGCTTCTTTGCTTCACATCAGGTTAGTCCAGGTTAGACCAATATCCATGTTTTGCTTCTTTTTCTGAATAAATTCTGAATCTGAGGAACGTGCCTAGCTTACACTATTTGTATGTTTCACATACAAATTCTGTTCCTTACAGTATCAGCACCTGCCACATTTGTACCAAATCATTAACTGTACCCTAACCCATGCTGTGACTATCAGAAGCTGAGGAAATAGCAAATTTATAATACAGTAACATAGAATAATCATTCCCACATTCTTACTCACTACACAACAGTGACACAGGAATTATTATATAGAACAAAAGTGAACCATGACATGGACTTGTTCGCAATTTATCCTGATCATTCTAGGGACCAAACTAGATGCAACATTTAATTGTTGTGGATACAGGGCTTGGTGCTAGGTAAGTACTGCAGGGAAGCTTGGAGCTGTGGAAATGAACAGAAGTTATATATATTTTTCTTTCCTGGGATATCCTTAGAAAAATACCTTCTCTGAAGTTATTGTTTGGATCTCAAGGGAAGCCTTTGTTCCCGGTAGGAATGTTCCCTAACAAACAGATAGGAGCTCCAGAAAGCTGGTTCTTATTGGGACCAGATCAGGAAGTGAAACTTCTCTCCCCTACCTTGCGTGGCCCAAGGCTGCTTAGGCTTCCCCCTGCCTGCTATTATATTATGAAAGTGTGCATATTGCATATTGATTCAATTAACATCACATCTCGTTTGGCCCTAGGGTACACTACTTTTAAGCAGAGTGTACTGTATGTGCAACATTAGAACTGGATATGGAAACACTAATTGGTTCAAAATTGGGAAAGGAGTACGACAAGGCTGTATATTGTCTCCCTGCTTATTTAACTTATATGCAGAATACATCATGCAAAAGGCCGGACTGGAGGAATCCCAATCCGGAATTAAGATTGCTGGAAGAAATATCAACAACCTCAGATATGCAAATGATACCACTCTGATGGCAGAAAGTGAGAAGGAATTAAGGAACCTTGCAATGAGGGTGAAAGAGGAGAGTGCAAAAAAATGATCTGAAGCTCAACATCAAAAAAACTAAGATCATGACCACTGGTCCCATCACCTCCTGGCAAACAGAAGGAGAGGATATGGAGGTAGTGACAGATTTTACTTTCTTGGGCTCCATGATCACTGCAGATGGTGACAGCAGCCCCGAAATTAAAAGACGCCTGTTTCTTGGGAGGAAAGTGATGACAAACCTCAACAGCATCTTAAAAAGCAGAGACATCACCTTGTCAGCAAAAGTCCGAATAGTCAAAGCTATAGTTTTTCCTGTAGTGATGTACGGAAGTGAGAACTGGACCATTAAGTAAGCTGACCGTCGAAAAATTGATGCTTTTGAATTGTGGTGCTGGAGGAGGCTCTTGAGAGTCCCCTGGACTGCAAGGAGAACAAATCTATCAATTCTGAAGGAAATCAACCCTGAGTGTTCACTGGAAGGACAGATCCTGAAGCTGAGGCTCCAATACTTTGGCCATCTCATGAGAAGAGAAGACTCCCGGGAAAAGACCCTGATGTTAGGAAAGTGTGAAGGCAGGAGGAGAAGGGGACGACAGAGGATGAGATGGCTGGACTGGGTCATTGAAGCTACCAACATGAATTTGACCCAACTCTGGGAGGCAGTGGAAGACAGGAGGGCCTGGCGTGCTCTGGTCCACGGGGTCACGAAGAGTTGCACGTGACTAAATGACTAAACAACATGTGCAACATGTCTCAATGCAGCGAACTGCACTTGGTTCTCAGAGGTTCTTCCAACACTATGACTTTCCAATTTCATAGAGGTCCCCACAATCAGCTTTTCTTCAGAATAGTTTTTTTGCATTTTTTTCTTTTACATCTCCACAATTTGTTGCAAGGGGGGGGGGAGGACAGGAAATCAAGGAGGTAGCTACATTAGTCTGTGGTTAAAAGATCAATAAGGAATCCAGTGGCACATTTAAGGCTTCCAAAGTTTATTTAAGATCAACTTCTGTGGACTGCAGCTTTGTGTCTGAAGAAGCAGGACTGAAACCCACAAATGTTTATGTCATATAAAATGAGTTAGTTTCAAAGGTGCCACAAGACTTTTTATTTGTTTAAGGTTCTCTTGTATTTTTTTTAAGAGTGAAGCCTCCTATAATCCTCTAAAAATCTGTTGATATGATTTGAGAAGCCCATTTCCACAGATTACCAAAATCATAGTCATTGTCACCATCTCAGAATTGCAGAGCTGGAAGAGATTCCAAGGACCATCGAATCCAGCCCCTGTCAAGGAGAGAAAGTGAGAATCTAACTCCTGGACCCAGTGACCAAAAATCACTGAGCTATCAAGCAAAGTCTCATAGGGAAGAGGAGGCTCTCCCTTGTAAACAGCTGCACTTCACATGTACAGAACAACAATAATGAAAGACATAGCAGACATTGTCTACACCCTCCTGTTTCCTCTCCTGGCATGGACAGCTTATAACCTAGACTGTAAGGCAACACCCTCCTGGCATGGACAGCTTATAACCTAGACAACACTAGAGTACTGTAAGGCAACACTCCAACTAAGGAAGGTCCCATTGATCTGACAAGGAGCTAGTCACACAGGACTGGGCAGATACCAGTTAAGAGTATCTCACGCATAAATATGGAACAGGAAATTGACCAGTGTGTACAAAAAAAAAAAGATATAGGAAAAAAGTGGCCCATTGTCCTTACCCAGACACCCCTTGGGTTCTCCAAACTCCATGCAGAGCTGACAATACATTCCCACTTGCATTTCTGGAACCAGTCTGTAAAGAAGACATATGCACACATATATATATAAACACACAAGGCTGTGTCAAACTTTAAAACAGTAACCATGTTAGTCTGTTTCAGTAACCATGATAGTCTGTTTCAGTAACCATGTTAGTCTGTTTCAGTACATAGGACAAAACCGAAAACATGGCATTACCTTAGAAACTTATTTCAGTATGACCTTTTGTAGATTACAAACTACTTCCTCTGGCACCATGGTCTGAAATATTTAGTCCCAGTTTTATACAAAAGTATACATTATGTGATGTGGGGACTCAGTGATGCTAGATAGAAAGTGAAACTTCAAAGTGACATCAGGTTATCAACACCAATCCTGAACTTTGAGAGTGTAAATTAAACAGACATCCTGGCACAGCTAGAGTAGTTAGCTAGCTATCTAGCATAGGTTGTTCCTGGATGAGGAAGCAGTTTGTATTTTTTTTTCTGAATCAACTTATGATTCTGTGACCAAAATCAGTAACTTTGTTTATGCACAGAAAACCAGTTATTAGCACACAAGAAAGCAAAGAATCCTGTCTTTAATTCTTTAAGCACCCTCTGGAATTTGTGAATGAAACCTGTCTAATCTGTTTCTCTCCCTCTCCCTAGTCTTCCTTGGCAAAATACCGCCTCCCCCCTGCATAATAGTCCCTTTCATATCAGCTTTTGTTCATAGGCATGGCCATGACGTTGCTGGGTTTGGAAGTCAGTGACCAATCCCTGTTGCCCAGCTTCTGAAGTTTTGTGAGTCCCCCCCTAATTTCCAAAGGCCTTGATCCCAAATCCATCCAAGGTCAGCTGCCAGCACTGGCTATGGGCTTGGCTGACACTGATGGAATGTATACTTTACAAGGTTGTGGAAGGTTAGACCAAGGTAACCCTACCCCTTGGTGTAATGTAGGATTTATAGGCCTACTGGGAAGGCCTGTGTGGATGGCTATAAGGAAGGTCTTCTTTATGCACTCATGCTCCTAGTCTTCTTTGGCACCCTATAAGTAGGAACGCTGTTCGTGAGGTCATAAGAAAAATTCTCACAAGGTGCTGGAATTTAGGGGTGTTTCCATCATTTGGTGTCATTTCACTGATGAGCCCAAAACAGATCCTCTGCTCCAGACCCAGTTGTGGTCCTGCTACTTTACCCCATCACTATGGTCTCACCTCTTTATTTCTAGGGTGGGGTGGTGGAGTGCAAGATCCTTGTTCACATTATGGTTTGTGTATATTCTGGGAAGTGCAACACTATGATTATTGCTCTAATCAGCCTTTTAAAAAAGATTGCTTCATTAGATACTGTGGTGTAGCAAAGACTGAAAGACTTGGGTTTGAATTCCAATTTAATGTAGCTTCGGATAAACCATCATTTCTCCAATCTCTTATTTCCTATCTAATACAAACACTACTAATAAAATGAGTACACTGATGTGAAAGATTAGGGAAAGAGGTTACTAGCCCCAAGTTAAAAGAATGAACCGAACTATAAATCTACATTAACAGATGAAAGGAAGCATCAAACTCAGTAGCTCCTTGGGGGGGAGGGGGAGCAGCAGCTGAGTGGAGAAATGAACTGAGAGGTGATAGGGGAAAGCCAGGAATATCGGCACCAGAATTATAGACACAGACACCCCAAATATAAAATGTAAGTAAAGAAACCATTAGAAGGTGCTGGATTCAATTTTGTGGCTACCAGACAAAATCCGACAGCTATTAACCTGCAAACCTGTCAATCAGCCCCACACCATTCTTGGAGTGCTTACCTTAGCCAGCATAATTCTTGTCTTGGCTACATCCAGAGGGGTGGTGACTGCAGCTGCAAATCCACCTGAGCGTATAAAAATGCCGAATACAAGTAACACTTTGTTTGTTCAATATGCATGCTGCATAGCCCCAGAGTTCCCACAGCTTCTGCCAAAACCACTTCATTATTAATTCTTACAGCTTGTTTCTCACTTCAGAATCTAGGTTGCTTTGTGTGAAGCCAGAATCATGTTGGGCTTTGGTAAGGAGCACAAAAAAATAAATAAAAGCCAGGGCATTTTTTTTTCCAAAAAAGAGAAATGTTTTGGAAAAGTAACATGCCCTTTATAAGAATCACCTGTCTTTCAAGCCTGGCATCAATTTTTGCCCAAGTAGGCTTCTCTTTATTTAGAATTCCCCAATACACGTGAGTTTTGTCCGGTGTCTTAAAGGCACGACTTTCTTGAACCCCCTCTTACCAGGCCAGACTACCAGTGACCAATAAACCTCACTGTTAGATGGGTCTGGTTTGCAGCAGCTCCCTGAGATTCTGGAGAAAATGGACTCTTTCCCATCACACGTTACTGATGATTTTCACTTGGAGATGGGAACATGGGTCCCTCCAGATGATGGATTGTAATTCCCCACTGGCTGGAGCTGATGGGAGTTGCAGCATAATCTGGAAGGTCACATGCCTCCTCCCCCATTTTAACTGGAAACACTGGAAAATGAAATCGGGACCATCTGTGTACAGAGCATGTACTCTATGTCTGATTTATAGTCCCATGGCTGCATTATGTTCACCCCTGGCAGGAGACAACCCTCACTCCACCTCTCGCTAGTCAGTTTAGCTAATGCAGAGCTCCCCCCCCCCAATCTGAGTCCAGCTTCTGCTTACAAAGACACAAAAGAGTATCAGCTATAATCAGCGCAAACAGAAAAGGAGTGACATTTCTCAGCATTTGAGAAATGAGCCGGGAGCCAGGTAAACTAAACTCCCTAAAGTCTGACACATGGTATTTCCTGGCCACAGGCCTCGGAAAGCTGCTCTGACAACACTGAGTAAGGCTTGGCTGAAACAAAGCTGTCAACAACCGAATGTGTTTAGACAAGACCAACAATGGGGTTGATCCTTCAGGGTAGGGCCCGTGCAGCTGGAAGGGAGGTGTGAACTTCCAAGAATAGAGAAGCACCTGCAGCATTCAGAGGCACTATCCTTTCTGCCGCAGTCATCCAGCACTGGAGCCAATCACGCAACCATGGCAGAAGCTGCACAGAGGTCGGGAACATGGAGGTTCCATCCAAAATGCTCTGGCATTCTTCCCTAGCTGCTGCGTCTGCTGGGAAACGGGAGCTCAGATTCTCTGTTCTGGTACCTTCTAATGCTAGTATCGGGGTCATCTGACCCAGTCTATGGATCCTTAAGCATTCAGCTGTGTAAGAGGAGCTAACAGGCAGTTCAGTACTGTCTAAAGCAGGGGCTGAGAATATGTGGCTCTACAGATGTTGTTGAACTGTTGCGGCAGCCAGGCCTGGTAGGACTGGCAGTTCACCAGTGCTGTGAGGACCACACATTCTGAAGCTTTCGTATCTTGTAGGGCGGTGCCTCACTTAACGACGATAATCCGTTCCAGGAAAATCACTGTTAAACGAAAACATCGTAAAGTGAGGGAAAAAAACCCATTGAAAAGCAATGATCCTCCATACAGCGGCCATTTTCGCTGCCAGTATAGTGAGGAATCTGTCCCTAATCACAGCGGGGAGCCATTTTAATTACTCGGTGGCCATTTTGAAAAGGCCGATCAGCTGTTTGAAAAATGTCATTTTGCGAAGAATCAGTTCCCGAAGCAGGGAATCGACCATCGCAAAGCAAAATTCCCCCATTTAGACCATCATTTTGCGATCACAAAAATTGTTGTTAAGCGGATTCATCGTAATGCATTTAGACCATCATTTTGCGATCGCAAAAATTGTCGTTAAGCGGATTCGTCGTAACGCGGGGAAATCGTAAAGCAAGGCACCACTGTATAGAAAGAATCTGAGTCCCACCAGAGCAGAATAAGATACATTTTTCCAAGGACATTTAAAAGTAACAGCCTTCTGTTACTATAATTATCATTTGCCTGTCAAATGTTATAATCATTTTGGTGAATTAATGCAGGGAGGAACAAGGCATTAAGGAAAGGCACTAAATGCTTATCATTATTCATAGTATGTCAGATGTTTACAGACTGATAATCCATGGCAAGTAGCATCAGTAGGAGAACAGCTCAACATACAGTGGTGCCTCGCATAGCGACGTTAATCGGTGCAGCAAAAATCGCTGCAAAGCGATTTCGTCACTATGCAATTTTAAAAAGCCCATAGGAATGCATTGAAACCCCTTCAATGTGTTCCTATGGGCTTAAAACTGACCTTTAAGCAAAGATCCTCCATACGGCAGCCATTTTCGCTGCCCGGTAAGCGAGGAATCCGTCTCTAAACACAGCGGGTGGCCATTTTTTTAACCTGGCAGCCATTTTGGAACCGCCGAGCAGCTGCTAGAAAATCATCGCTTTGCAATAATCGGTAAGCGAAACAGGGTACCGATCATCGCAAAGCGATTTTTCTCCATTTAAAACATCGCAATGCGATCGCAAAATGTTCATCAGTATGCAATTTCATCGTTAAACGGGGCGCCCGTTAAGCGAGACACCACTGTATTTGTAACTGGACATGGTGACGGAGAGAATGCAAATTCTCAGTAACTACTATGAAATCTCTGTGTTTCAACTACATCTTCAATGTCCCCATAGTGGTGCATGTATCATGGATACTGGCTCCCGCTGCTATCTGCAACAAATTTTCCTATATAAATGTGTTTAGAACCACCATATCCACGCCCTCTATCCAGTTGTCGTTCACCCCTTTTATTGTGTTTCCTGAGAGTCCTTGCAATTTTTATTCAGACAGCTCAAACTAGAGGGTCTGTTCAGAGAGCACTTAGTTAGCAGAATGAACAGCAATGGCACTCTTAAAGTCACCTCTCGGTGGGGTCAGGAGGGGTCAAGAAAGAGATGTTAGTAGCTGAAGGCTCAGAAATTGCTAAGAGGAGGAAGACAAGAAGTGGCGAATCTAACTCTTTGGGAGGGGCAACAGGACAGTGAGATATAATGAATGAAATGACAGGTAAAGTTTACTCTTACTTCTGGAATGCCCCTACTGGCATCCATGGTGAGAGGTGGAAAAGAAGTGATGCTGTGGAAGATTCTTCCAATACGACGACTTATATTTATAATGACTAGAGATAGATACGAATTGCTGGTTCAGTGGTTCAGCACAGTTGAATAGCTGATTCATGCTTTGGCATCCCACCCCCTCGGCGGCAGTGCCTATAGGAAGGAAGCAGGGTGGGGTGATGCGGCAGAGTGGGCGCCTGCTGGAGGGGGCGAGCACCAAACTGCGGATCAGCTGTTCAGCTGGAAACCAAACCACATCGAACTGCCAAACCAGCAGTTTGGTTCATGCCCATCTCTAATCATGACCTATCAATCTATTAATTCTAGCCACTTTTCAATTCATTAAAGGACTATGATTTTGATACTTTCACTGGTGTGAGTGCTTAATTGTGCACATACACAGAGAAAGAGAATGTGTGCACATTGAGGCAAGACCATTAATGCAAGATGGTGATTATTATACCGAGGAAGGCCTAGCAAGTTACTCTGACTCTCAAAGAGTCTGCCACTCGAGTCTGCCTTGAAAGAGAGGCTTACATAGACCCAACCAAAAAAAACCTGATTTTCAGGATGATGGCAAAACTCACCTGCTTCCAAATGAGCTTTAGGGTAAAACTCTGTGCTGCATCTAAGTTAACTGCTATGAATACTGTTAGCGTCCTTATAAATTATGCTTCACATATTGTTCATGATTTTTCACTTACTGCTATCATAAGCTGCAATGAACGATCATGTGGAATGTATTCAGGAGAAAAACTGATATTTATTATCTTGAAATAATACAAACTTTGACGTTTTTAGGCCATAATAATAACAAGAATATATCCAAATAAAATGGCACCAATCTCTACGTACAAATCTATCAATCCAGCTCACTCAAAGCTTGATTAACACTTTCCATCAGTTTGGTTTCACTCAAGCTAGCTTCTTTGGAGAGTTCAAACCATCACAAAAAAAAATACTCTCATTTATATCTTAGTCGGTTGAATCGCTTTATGACAGTGCTAATCATGAAACCTCTCTGCTTCATCTCAACAACACATCTTTGGAGAGTTCAAACCATCACAAAAAATACTCTCATTTGTATCTTAGTTGGTTGAATTGCTTTATGACAGTGCTAATCATGAAACCTGTCTGCTTCATCTCAACAAGACTGCAGTGCTTCTATGAGGACTTGGATATTCAAGCACTTCGAAATCTGGCCACGACAACCAAGAAGCTTCTAGCACAGTGCTTCCTAACCTTGCTTCCTCAGATGTTCTTGAACTACAACTCCCAAATATTCTGACCTGCATAGCTATTAATGAAGGCTTCTTGAAGTTTTAGTCGAAGAACATCTGGGGACCCAAGGTTGGGAACCATGGGTCTAACACCACTCACATTTCTGACACCAGTTAGTGTATGTTTTTATCCGCTTATTAGAGATGGGATATGTTTTTTGCCAAACTTAAAAGAAACTCTGTGTCCTTTGCACGTGACATCCCTTTTTCCCCGCTTAAAAAGATCCACAGAGAAAAAGAATAGCAGTGCCACCACTGTGATCCACCTGTGGTTCCTGACCCACCAGCTGAAGAATGGAATGTCCTCTCAAAGGATGCCTCCCCCCACTGCAAGCTTTAAAAAACTCACAAGTGTGTTTTAATTCATCAGTCCAATGTTGTTGCTCTACTGATGCTGGAGGTGTTAGTTATATTTCAGAAGTATTCTTAGACATCACTATTTGTACAATGTTAATGTTATATCAATGTGTTCTTATTTTCACAGTTGCATTTTGTTTGCTGCCTGAGGTGGGCTTTGTCCAAGAAGATGGCTCAGAAACATTTAAATCTAAATAAACAATGAACGGATCCGTGGATCCTAGCTCGTC